ATGTATAGATACATTCTCCATTGTATTATATTACAAATAATATTTCGCATAAAATTAAATCAATTTAACATTTTCTTTTTCATATCACAAACGACAAATTAGATACATGATATAACATTTTTAAATTATAATTACGTATATGAGCTTACGATAATTATTTCTCCCTTTTTTTTTTCTCATAATAATTAAAAAAAAAATTTCGTCGACATATCTGTACGTATAAATAATTTCAAAGTTAAGATCAATTTCAAAGATATTAATACTAATTCACGAGATGATACGTAAAATTATCAGAAAAAAAAGTAAGAAGGATGATAAAGAAAAAAAAAAAGAAGTAATGAAAAAAACAATGTAACAATATTAGCTAATAATAAATATTAAGGGGGGGGGTGACTTTTTGTATAAGAAATTTTCTTCGTAAAAGAAAATATCAGAATTTGTATAAGAAATTTTGATCGTAAAAGAAAATATCAGAATCGTGAATGAAAAAGTGTTTACTGAAAATAACGTAACGTCATTGACGTTATAGGGGTAGAACGAAATAACATTAGAATATCGGAATTGAAGATCTCGAGGAGGAGATCGACAGGAAAGATCGACGAAAACGAACGATGTGTCACAAGAAAGAGGATTGTCACGAGGGATGAAGGCTCGTGAACGTGCCCGAAAGGATGTCGTCGTCCTGCAAAGTCCCGCTTATGAGGATAGCGGGCTTGCTACTTCCGGTGAACTCGGTGAACAATCATTTTCAGGAGAGTGCGAGGGTATTGCGTGTTTGCCCGCTCGCGACGAGGTCAAAGGGATCGACGGTGACCCTAATCGCGATCCCAGGTCCGATATAATCATTGATATCCTTATCGTTTAATTCGATACTTCAATTCGGTTTATGGCAATGTACAAAATCTAGAAATTGAATTCGATTTGAATGATATTCGATGAAAATTAAATAATAATCTAGCTCAAAATAATCGATATATTTTACGAAAGAAAAGAAAAAAAAAAGAGAAAAGAAATAAAACATATTTTAAACAACACAAGATTTTATTTTGATTTTTAAATGATATCTCGTTTCGATATATTAAATTTTCTTTAACATATTATTATAGAAGAAGAAAAATAAAAATAAAAAAGAAAAAGAAATAAAAAATAAAATAAAATAAAATACAATGCTTTTTATTAGATTTCATAAATAAAATCGAATTTCATAATATACTTTATTAAATAATAATGATACAAATTCTTATAAAAATAATTGTATTATATTATATTTGCAATACTTTTTAGAAGGAAAAAAAAGAAGGAAAAAAAGAAGGAAAAAAAAAATTATAATATTACTATTATTATTCATCCATAGAATGTGAAACGTCAAACGAGCCGACAAATATCTCGTTAGAATTCAAAAGACATCTTCGAAACGTGTCGGTCGAGTTTCGAAAGAATTATGTTAATCGTCTAGCACGGGGTTTTATCTGTAAACGCATTATATATTCGCTCTCGTTACGATGAAAAGAAAGTCCATGTCGTTATGATAACGAAGTGGTCGCGTGTAAACGAGAATTCGCAATGTTTTTCGTTTCCCTTCGTCGTGAGAGTTATTTTTTGTTAAACATATGTAAATATATGTATATGTATATGTATATATATATATATATATATATATATATATATATATATCAGGTATACTATAAGACAACATTACTATCCTGAGAGTGGTTGGGGTTGGGTCATCGTTGTGACCGGCGTAATGGTGCAAATTCTCGCTACGGGAATTCATGGTGCCGTTGGTGTCTGGTTGATACTCGATGGAACAAAACGATTTCGACAGCCCTTACTTAACGTAGGTAGGTTTATCCCTTAGAGAGATCTTGAGTATGCAAAATTGAGAAAAATTTTTTCATTTAAAATCCAACATTCTATATAATCATGAATATGTAATGTATTGTATTCAATATGAATTATTCTTATGTTTTTTAACTAAAAAAAAAAAAAAAAAAAAAAAAAAAAAAAAAAAAACATTTCCTTTAATCAATAATATTTACTCGTAATTAATATCGCGCCTTTATGTATGCAACACTTAATATCTTATCGAATAAATTCGATAAAATATTCGATCTCAATCAGTAAGAACCTTTTTTTCAAGCCCCTGCATATATATTACACTTTATTACGTCCGTGTATATGTGTGTTGCCTATCGTAAGGGGCTTATAAAAAAAAAAATTTCTTACTAATAGACGACACACGGTATCGCAATTATCAACGGAGTACAAAGTGTTATCTATTTGTTCAATTATCTCGTTGGACAAAATGTCTCGTGTCAAATAATCAATTTTTAAAATGATCAATCATTATAAAAATACATATATCCTGTATAATGATTTGTAAGAAAAAAAAAAAAAAAGAAAAAAAAGAAAGAAGAAGAAGAAGAAGAACAAAAAATATGAAATATGAATTTGAAAGTTATATCTAAAAACGAAACAAAAAAAGATATTGATTGCAGATTAAGCTTAATTCGCAATGTGAAAGATCAAAACTTTCCCATGGAGATGAAGTTCACAGTCGAGGAAAGTGATGTTAAAAGTCATTCTCCTAAGGAAATTAAACTATTCTTATTCTCTCTTTCTCTCTCTCTCTCTCTCTCTCTGTCTCTCTCACGAGTAAACTAAAGAGATACCTTGTGAACTCTTACGAAAGTTGGTGTCCTGTTACTACTAGTTGGCACGAGAAACGTTCTGAGAAGATCGGTTCATTGACCCACACACGTAGAAATTCTCGAAGAAGCATAAGCACTCTCCCTCTCATCCAGTTTAGCTTTAAGCAAGCAAACCAAAGTATTTTCTCTCTCTCTCTCTCTCTCTCTTTCTCTCTGTCTCTTTTTCTCCCTCCCTGTCTCTCTATATCTTTTCTCTCTTCTCATTCCTTCAAGAAGAAAATGAAAAGGAAAAGAGAATGAAACTCTCTTAGAATTTCCGATAAAGGATTTTGATTCTGACCAATGGAAATGGACAAAAAGAGGTGGTAGAGGAAGAGAGCATTTTGTTTTGGACGCTTTTCTACAAATACTTATGAAGCGTAGCTTGAATCTCAGTTCACCCCCTCCCCCCATCTTCCATACTCTTTCTCTCTTTCTCTCTCTCTCTCTCTCTCTCTCACTTTTTTTTCTCTGTAACATATCCTCCCTTCGATAAACTTCTCTTTCCTACTTTAACCATTATATCTCCCGATAGGATCGAAGTATAGCGAAGTTCTTTTCTTTCTTTTTCCCTTCTCTCCTCTTCACGTCTCTTCACTCTTCAATCCTCTTGGATGGTTGGATCTTAGTAAGGAGTTTGGTAAAAGAAATGCAAATGCGTTTCGTGATAGAAGTCCGATAGAATAAAAGAGAACATATTCTCGATATGATATCTTCATGGTTCGCCAAGTTTTTCGATTTCTTTCTCTGTTCCTTTGTCTTTATAAGTATTTCTTTATTTTTGTCTCTCTGTCTATCTCTCTTTCTCCCTCTCTCTCTCTCTCTCTCTCTCTCTCAAACACACATACACTTTGTCATATACATATCTCTTATTTTTCAATTTTATAGAAATAATATTATCATAAGTTTTCGTTGATAAAAGATATAAGAGAGATTTACATTGTCATATTTTTGACACATTTACTTTTATCAGAAACGTGTAATTTCTTCCATTTAAAATCGATCCTCCTAAAAAAAAGAAAATTACATAAATAAATAAATAAATAAATAAATAAAATAAAATAAAATAAATGAAAGTAAAAATAAAAGTAACATGATTCAATCTTTACGATTGTTTCGAGCGAAGAATAAAAATTGATCTTGAAGTTAGAAAGAAAGAAAGAGAAAAAAAAAACAAAAAAGAAAAGAGAATACGATTCAAACGAGTCTCCTAATCTTACCATTAAGAATACGAACGCGTAGGTGAACGCGTATTAGAAATAAGAAAGAGATAAAGAGAGAGAGAGAGAGAGAGAGAGAGAGAGAGAGAGAGAGAGAGAGATAGAGAGTGAGTGAGAAGGAGAGAGAAAGAGGATCGTTAGACACACCGGCCTCCAAAACGAAAACGATATAGCAAATGGAAAACTTCGAAGCAAGTTGGCCAACAAGTCGACATAAAGATCGAAGTTATTTGAAATTTTGTGTAGGCATACACGAATACACGTAGAAACACGTGCTCTTCTTGTATATGTCTGACATTTTTATTGTCCGTCGTATATCGTTCACGTTGCTTTTACGCATGTACATTAGAATTTATCATTGACACGAAAACGTGGATCATGGGACTGTTCGCTCGTTTGTTATGATCGATTTACGATTTGTTTTCTTTTTTTTTTTTTTTGTTTTTTTTTTTTTTTGTTTTTTTTTCTTTTCTTCTTCGATTTAACTTTAGTAACCAATCGTGAGAGATTCTATCGAAATAATAATTCCAAGTTTCTCGTATGTATAATGTTTATGTGTGAGTGTTTGTATATCATTATTATACGTACTAATACACATAGAACTATATGTAGATCAACAACGTTGAATCAATTTTGACTTGTACGTCTAGCAAATTCTTCCAATATTTTTGAATTTGTATTCTTTTGGTAAATAGACCAACTCAATACATATGTAATACGATGACAGGGAAATATCAAAACTATTCTAAGAGTTGAACATCTGAATGATGTATTTTACATCGGGAACATCGAACTTTTGTCGAAGAACATACTCGAAAACATCTGTAAATCATTGAATTTTCTTCAAACTTTCTTATGACAAACACTTTGCATTTATTTATTTATTTTTATTATTCTTTTTTTATTTCATCATCATCATCATTATTATTATTATTATTATTATTATATGAAGTTGTTTTATCTCGTGTGTAAGAAAAAAAAAAAAGGAAAAAAAAGGAGAGAGAAAAAAAATGATTCCTCGATAATGATTAATTAATTAATATCTAAGACTTATCAGATTTATAATCGAATTAATTTTCTCTCGTCGTAGGATGGTTAGGTGCTATGTCCACTGGTGTAGCCTTGCTGGTGTCACCCGTTACTATAGCCTTTTGTAGAAGAAAAAGCACCAGAGTTACGGCCGTTTTGGGTGGCCTCGTTACGGCACTCGGTTGCCTCTTCACGTCCTTCGCCTCGCAATTTCATCAATTGTTCTTCAGTTATGGTACCATGGTGGGTGAGTGAGTAAAAGAATCATATCCTAAATTAAGCTGAAAACAAGTTCAATTAAAATTAATCAACCTGACAGTAAATAAGATTGATATTTATTTATTTATACAATTTCAATTGATCAAAATCTTATTACTATTACTATTATTATTATTATTATTATTATTATTATTATTATTATTATTATTATTATTATTATTATTATTATTATTATTATTATTATTATTATTTAACAAGAATGATTGTACTTAACAGAAAAAAAAGAGAGAGAAAAAAGAAAGAAAGATTTACGAAACTTCTTCGACGATCTTTCTATTTGTTCATTTATTTATTTATTTATTTATTTATTTATTTATTTATTTATTTTCTGTTTTTTTTCTTTTCTTTTTTCTTTCTTTATTAATTGGAACATTAACAGGAATAGGTGTGAGTATGACAAGAGATTGCAGTACGCTAATGGTAGCACAATATTTCAAACGAAGAAGAGAACTCGTTGAGATATTCATCGTCTCTGGAAGTGGTTTGGGTATAGCAGTCATGTCGGCCTTTATAAAAGGTGCCATTAGGTGAATTTATTTTTTTTTTTTATATATGTATATATATATATAAATATATATAAAAAAAAAAAAAGAAAGAAATGAATTAATAAAACTTTTCTAAATAATAAACAAAGAGTAAAATATAATGATCGTATTTACAGCAAGATAGGATGGCGATTGGGTCTTCAAGCGGTTACCGGTGTCGTTTTCCTCACCTTCATATTAGGAACATTTTATCGAAGCGCTTCTTTATATCATCCACAACGTCGAGCAATATTACATTTGAAGAATCAAAAGAGAAAGATCAAGGACAAGAATAAAACGGACGATAGACCGGCGTTCTTTGATTTTAGCACCCTCAAAAGTAAAACCGTTAGGATATTATTGGTTTCAACGGGGATATCCGCTTTTGGAATAAACACGCCGATTTTTTATCTGGTTAAAATAAATATTACGAGATATTATAATATCGTTTTATTACGTTTTATTTTAAGTTTTTACAATAAAATTGATGATGATATTCGATTGATTTTTTTTTTTTTTTTTTGTGATACGTAGGCGCATCAAGCGGAGGAGGAGGGCCTTGGGGACACCGTTGTCTTGCTTCAAGCTTATCTCGGATTGGCTTGGACACTTGGCTGCGTGGCCTTCGGTCTTTTGGTCGTTCATCGGAACGTCGAGTGCAGAATTGCAAGGCAGTATCTCACACAGGCTGCTGTCTTCGTATGCGGGCTTTGCATCCTTGCTCTCACTGCTGTTCAAGGAAATTATCATGGATATGTTATGTTCACATGGATTTACGGTATAACATTGAGAATATTCTACTTCGTTTTCTTATTATTATTATCTCTTTTTTTTTTCTTTCTTTTTTTTTTTTTTCATTCGAAACTTTCAACGCGATAAACGAAAAAAATCTTTTTTACAAATTTATCGTAAATTTACTTAAAATCCTCTCTTTATTTATTTATTTATTTATTTATTTATTTATTTATTTCTTGTTCACGAAATTAAATAACTTCGATCGAATGACCGGAGTTCTCTTTTTTCTTTCTTTTCTTCTTTTGCAGAACAGTGAATAAAATTCATTATTATCATTGATGATTCTTCCATTTGTTATACGTATAATAATATCGATCGATTTCGAATCGATTTACGAGCTATAATATGGTAATTTTCTTCTTCCAGGGATCTTTTGTGGTGGCTATCATTATAGTCTGAAAATGTATACGTACGAAAGGGTAAGAGCAAGGAATTTTGCCAGAACTTGGGGCTTCGTTCAATGCTCTCAGGCGATACCGATCGCCATTGGTGTGCCAATATCTGGTAATAATTAAAATTAACGAAAACGAGTCAAGTTCCACATCGATAATATTTATTATTATCCGAATTTAAACAATACAAATGACTTTAATACTTTCTAATCGATCTGATATATGTATATATATGTATGTATATCAAATGTGTTTATATATAATTTTTTATTAATTTATTTTTTTAGGATATATAAATGTTGGTTGTGGTGGTAAAGCAGGTTACTACTTTAGCTCGACTTGCGTTTTAGTCGGCAGTTTCACTCTATTCTTCATAGATCTCCATAGGCGAAACTTATCGAAACACAAACATACCAGAGCAAATGGTAGCAAGCATTTATGTGTTCTTGGTAATTGTCCTCAACAACGGAGACCGTCCTTTAGTCAGGAACCCGAAAACGATGGGACACATGTGGCAGCTGCTGGTGCAGCTGCTGCTGCCCTTGTTCTTGGAGCTGAACTTGGACCAGCACCTGGTAAAAACATCTCAATTAAAAAAAAAAAAAAAAAAAAAATATATATATATACACATACACATATATTATACATAATTTTTTTAATTGCAAAGAAAAAAAAAATAACAAACAAACGAAAGTCATATTTGATAATTAAAAGAATTTATTTGTAATATTCACTTGACGTAGTTCTTCGACATAGTTAATATAATATAAGAGATAATACTATCTTGTTTTATTTTATTTCTTTTTTTTCGTTCTTATTTATTTATTATTTATTATTTTTTTTTTTCTTTTTCCTCGTATCATATTCAGGTGACATAATAGACGCATTAGGAGCAGAGAAACCCGAACTGACGTGTATTTCCGAGGAGGGTATAGCCGATATGGATCTACCAGATAATCTTCTCGATGATCTCGATTATATCGGTGATTGTATAACCTCGTGCAACAAGGTTGAGAACTACCTCATGCTCTCAGAATTTGAAAACAATCTGATCGCCGAGATGCCGATTATTATGGACCGGCGAGGTCGCAGATGGTCCTTGGCACGATCCAAGGCCGGTCAAACGACTGTTTGTGGTCAACAAACGGTTGGAACTAATGCAGCGGCAGGAAACTCATCGATTCAGGAGGAAGATTCGAACGAAACGAACGCCGTCAAGTGGCACCTTGGGAGTCAGCCTACCAACGCTAATAGTCGAACGATTACGGTCATTGACGAAGCGAGTACGTAATTTCAAGGGCGAAAGGGTTTCTCGCGTTCGACGTTAACAAAAAAAAAAAAAAAAAAAGAAAAAGAAAGAAAGAAAAAAAGTAGAAGAAGAAAAAGTTATCCTGAAAAGGAAAAAGATAATTTAGTAATAACGAGAAAGGAACGAATTTTTTGTATGAGACAATTTCGATTCGTTGATGATGATGATGATGATGATGATGATGATGATGATGATGATGATGATGATGATGATGATGATGATGATAGTGGTGGTGATGATGGTCGCGAAAGAAGTATAATCTACTCGAGACGAAGAGACAAAGAAAAATTAAGAAACAATGAGAACCAACAACAACAACAACAACAACAAAAAATGACGAACATATAAGAAAAGAGAAAAAAAAGAAGAATGGTGGTAATTTTTTTTTAAACAAAATCGTAACAATCCGACCGCGGCACTACCTTTCCGATATAAACATACGATAAATCGATGATTAGCTTCTTTTTTCTCTTCTTATTGAATACGTTTTTACGTTAATAAATTTAATATTAAGCGATAAAAAGAAAGAAAAAAGAGAAAGAGAGAGAGAGAGAGAGAGAGAGAGAGAGAGAGAGAGAGAAAGAGAAGAAATAAAGAAAGTGATCGTAAACGTTGATCGTCTCGGAAAAAGAAAAATATCCAATCGCGACGTTCGAATTCGCGACGTAATTAAGGACAATAACGTCGGCTATCGGCGAGAGAGGAACCACGGAAACACGCTCCGTCCATCATGGATTCAAAGAAAAAAAAAAAAAAAAAAAAAAAAGAAAAAAAAAAGAAAGAAAGAAAGAAAGAAAGAAAAAAGAAAATAAACGACTCCTGTCGACGTACACATTACTACTTCTTCGGTTTTTAAAAATTACATCAAGATTTTTGAAAACTTATTGATAGATCTTACGAAATAACGCTTAATACGTAGGCACGCTAGCTAAAGATTTTTAAACTAGTCTACGCGATCGAAAGATCTATGCGAATATTGAAATAATACGATATATATATATATATACATATATATATAATTATAAAAAAAATATATAATATAATGTTCTAATAAAAAAAAAAAAAAAAAAAAAACGTGATTATATATTATTATTATATTATTATTATGCAAAATGTAACGTACACGTTAGTAATGAACAATTCAAGAGATAATAATATAGGTATGTATCTATTTATTTATCGCAATATTTATGATTAGAATGTACATATATATATATATATTACATACATACAATATAAAATATAAAAATATAGGTGCCATGTATGTAAACGATTATTATATACGTATGCGAGTACAATTCAGCGTTCAAGGCTGTTAAGATCATTCGGTCTTACGATGATGAATAGCTGAAAAATAGTAGAAAATTTATAGTTACGTAATTATGTGTGTATGCAGGGTGGTTATGCTAAAATTGTCGATATTTCTAAATACGCTTATGCTATAATCAAGTTCAACGAAAAATACAGGACGATTCGTCGTTAACGTTTGCTAGGTCTCCTTTAAAAAAAAAAAATTATTAATTAAACAGTTATACTGTAACTGTTCTTAACGTTTGTTAAATTGTAAGATATGTAGAATGGTTCATTCAAAATTTCAAACATTTTTGACGACTTTGATTATCGAAACAATCTTCGAGCGCCATCCAACGACAAAACGTCAAAGTTCTTTTAGGAAGCTGCGTCCCTGATAATAGGCTACATTTGTCTAGAAAATATCTATCGAAAATATTAATTTGTAAACAATTTCTGTCTTGTTTTTTTTCTTTTCTTTTTCTTTTTTTTTTTTTTTTTTTTTTTGTTTCGTTTTCTTTTTATAATAACATAGTTTTATAACACAATGAGAAAATGTATTGTCATGCAAAAGTAACTTTACAAATAAGAAAAAAATAAAACAGGAAAAAAAAAGAACAGATAACCATTACAATGTCTAGAAAATAGAAAAAACCTTGATAAGATCTAGTAAAAAATATTTGACCGTATTTGAAAATAAAGTATTTGTATGTATATATCAGGGAGACCTCCAAAAAAACTTCAAACACTGTATTAATTATTAACATTGATTTAGTTATTATAAAAATATCTTTTCACGCTGTAATACAAATCGTTATATATCTTTTTCCCGTATTTATTTCACATTAAATATACATTAAAACCGTAAGTATACGCGATAACTCGTAAAAAATTTAATTCATTTATTTCAAAATATAATTATCGTACAACGATTTTACAATAAAAGGATCCATAATAATGAATTCTTGATATATTAAATAATATCTCATCACCAATTCCAAGGACACAAAAGATAATTTATATTTATAACAAAATAATAATAGCGAATTCTAAATACTCATAATTTTGTCTATACTCGAATATTTTTGCTATACAGAAAAAACCTTGTAAAAAATATCTATACCCGACATATCGTTGATTTCACTCGTACAATTAAGATTGGTTTAAAAGTGAATATGCAAATTTGTATAATGAGTTGCGTTCATTTTTAGTTCAAACGTTTCTTCTTTTAATACAAAAGAAAACTCAATAAGAAGAAGTTATTCTTTTTTAAGAAAGGAAAGAAAAAAAGAGAAGAAAAGAAAAAAGGGAAGATCTAATAATCATTTAGGATAAATAATAATATAGTATAGATTAATAATAGTGTAGTGGCAGAAGTTAATAATTAGTTTCGACGAGTAACCTCGAAAGAATTCGAAGAAGAAGTATTACAAATCACAAGAACGATGGAAGTATCAAATTTGTCACCCACACTTAAACATAGAAGGAAATTTGAACGCATCAAAACGATTAATACGAACTATCACGACACATCATTCGTTAATCATAACTCCGATCTATATACAATAAGTAAACTATATGCTTGTATTAATCAGAAAGCTCAGACGTTAATAGACTGTTGTAAAGAGTCCACAGACAAGTGTCTTTTGCAAGAGGAGAAGGATTTTATCGATCCGATCGACGTCTCCAGGTTAGATCATTATTAAACGTTCTTTTTTTTTTTTTTATTTTTCATATCGATCCAACTATATTTTTACATCAGCCGTTTTTTTTTTTTTTTTTTTTTAAATTAATTATTATTATTATTCTTTTTCTTCTTTTCTTTTTTATATTCTTACTATCTCTATTTTATAATAATATTTATAGTACTCAGACGAGCAACATTATTGAGATGAATAAAACTATATTGAAACTTATCCATTATCAGATAACAATCTTAACTCTAATTGCAATATTTGGAACGTAAGTCCAAAAATATTTATTATAAACATAATATCAAAGAAGAAATTCGTAATATATATATATATATATATATATATATATATATATATATAATTGTGTTTTTAGATTGTTCCTTTGTTTGTATATGGATCACGCAAAATTACGATTCATGTATATATCGGAAACGGCTTATTATTTTCCTGAGACAAGTTTTTTCGCGCAATTTATGAATTTGATCGTATTATTTGGTAAATTAAATAATATTTTATCAATTCATTTATATTTCATTGAATTTTTGGTAATTCTCTTATATGTTTCTCTATCGTCAGGAAGTATAACTGTATTCTTGAGACACTTTGTATTACTTCAATTTATACGAGATAGAGGTGAAAATGTGATAACAAAAAAATTCAACAATATATCTACTTTATTTGGTTCAATGATGATTACGGGTATCAGTATACTTGGAAATTTTCCAATTGTTCAACCTTGTTATGTTATCCATTGTACTGGTGTATTATTATATTTTTTTGGTGTCACTGGCTATTCGATTATTCAGGTTAGTATATGTTCTATGGTATCGCATAATGTTTTAATAAATACTTTTCCAATGTATCTAGACACGAATAGAGATAACAAACAGAGATATAAAGAAATTTTATGAATGTTTATTTCAATTTCAATTAAACGTATACCTGTGAATATTCTAAAAAAAAAAAATATATATATATATATATTTTTAGATATTGGATACATTATAGCACTAATATTTTGATTGTTTATTTAAGATCTACATTGAACAACTGACAAAACATCACATCGAATAATTTTTCAATGAGTCACATAAATTTTTATTCTATTCTGTTCTCTCTTTCTCTCTCTTTCTCTCTTTCTCTCTCTCTCTCTCTCCTCTCTCTCTCTCTCTCTCTCTCTCTCTCTCTCTCTCTCTCTCTCTCTCTTTTTGAACGTTTTCTTTTTCATAGACTAAAATCACTAAAAGGATGATTGGTATTGTCTCCGATTACTATATT